AAATTTGTGTCACTTTCTTGGCCTCGCTGCTCAACGAAGAACCACCCATATTCCTGATTCAACAGCAGTAAACGACAAGCAGACAAGCAGAGGTACTACGAGATACTGGAGGAAGCTGCTCCTGTCGAGCAAAGGGACGCACCAACACTCCAAGAAGCGTTGCTGGGGCATCCCATCGATGGACCACGCCCACTCACAATAGCTGAGTACCGGGCAGCAAGAACAAAGTTTAAGCCGAGACGCCGGAGGAACGACAACGCTACTTAGAGCGTATTGGGAAAGAAACACAAAACAAATTTTTTTAAATGAAAGGAGAATAATACGTATATTCATTATAAATTTTGAAAATATCCAAAAGCAAAAGAAAAATATTCTCGTATTCACGATTTCATGAAATCTTTTAGGTATAGTATTTTTTTTGTAGCCTATCCTTATGTACTTTCTGTTACTTATTCTTAGTATCCCCAATGAAAACATTGTCATTATCTTCTATTTGAACTACTATGTATAGTCCTATATATGCTGGGTCTTGTGCCCTATTTCATTTCTTATTAGTACTTTATCTCCTACACTTAATTCAAAACTCTTAGTATTTCTATGATATTCTAATTTCCTGTAAGCCTTGGCTTTTTCTAACATAACTCTAGTTATTTTATCTGCAACTTCTAACCTAACCTGTGTGAACGAACGTATTCATTGAATGTTCGATGGCTTTGTTCTATTGTCAGTAAGGGCTGGTGGTGAAGCGCAGTAGACGTTATATTGTCTATTTTCAAAAACTTGCACAAGTCATTTATAATGGAATTTTTATATTCTTGGACCGTACTTCAGAATAAAGCCTTCAAATATAGCTTTGGCAACAGTTGTTGCACTTTTATTCCGAATTGAAATGGATATTAAGTATTTTGTTAAATCGCAGCGTGGTAGTGGACCTATAGTGTCTACTATCACTCTGTGATAGTAGTAGATGTGATATTATCCTTGGATTTTCTGTTATTGTCCTTGGGCTCTTTACTTTTGTTGCTATTTTTGATTTAAGACATTTTGAACATTTCTTAATGTACTCTTTGATATGACGTGCCATTTTTTCCAATAATAATGTCTTTTTACTTTGGCCAAAGTTTTTTGTAATGCCTGTATTACCTCCTTGAATCGGTTCATCATGGTATGTAAATGCCATCGCTTCTTGATCTTTATCATTATTTATTAGGGTCACCGGCTTGAGTAGCGCTACTCTTAATGTTTTCAATATTTTACTGCCCATTTTTTTTTTTTTTTTAATTTAATTACAATTATTTCAAAGATCTTTCCGCTGTAACAAGTATTATCCGATATGTGCAAGGTCACTCCGAGCCAATCCATTTTGGAAATTCTAATAATTAAACTAGACGAAAAATTTATATTAATGCCTATGTCCTAGGCTAAAAAAACACAAAAATTAAAAGATTTCATGAAATCGGTCTGATCAACCAAACGATAAAAAAAAAACTTTTCTTTTTAAATTTCGATATAACATTTACATTTCATTTTTTTAATATACATTTTAAAATATACTTTCATAAAGCCCCAGCCATAAGCAATAAAATACAGCATGGCATTAAGTACAAATTAAAGACAAGCCGAAAAATATTCAGATATAAATATTTGTTTATAAATATATTTTTTTGATTTATTGTTTTGATAATGAAAAGTGCTACTTTAGGACAAAAAAATGTATTGAAAAAATGATTATAATTTAGGTTAAAAACTGTCTTAAAACTTTAATCTCTGCCAAAAAATAAAAAAAAGCATAGATATTTAAAAAAAAAAATCATTATAAATTGAAGTTCTATAAAGTAGAACATAGAAAATTCTAAAATTTAAATATAAAATATAAAAAAAATAAAATAAAATCAAACTATTATAATTAAGGTTAAAAATTTTCTTAAGAACTAAACTTTAATCTCTGCCAAAAAAAAAAAAAACATGGATATTAAAAATCATTATAAATTGAAATACAATTAAATAAAATGTAGAAAATTCTAAAATGAAAATAAAAATATATATAAAGTAGATTAGAGGTATCTCTAAGCAAAAACAATGCCGTTGAACAATATTCGTGGAAAAGAGCATAGCGAAGTTAAAAGATTTGCTTATAGTTGGTCGAATTGTCGCTTCGTTGCAGCGACTTCAATTTCTTCTTGTTGGGCTTAAAGGGCGCGGGCTGTGCGACGAGCGCTGCGGCTGCGGCGGCGGCTGCATTGCGATCCTTACGGGTGACTGGCGTGTCATACGGCGTACGCACGATTTCCGGCAGATGGGCATAGTAGACGACTCGCTCGTTGCGGCTGCGGGGCGACGACAGCTGCTGCGGCAGCTTGGGCGAGACATATTTGTTACTGTAGGAGTCGAGCACGGGCATGCCCATGGCCATGGGGTCATCGATGTAGCCACGGCGCGACTTGATGTAGTCTGTCGGCGGCGGGGTGTCCAGATGGCGATCGGGATACATGAGATAGGGTTCCGGATATTGGGGCACTCGTGGACTGTAGCTATCGTAGGGATCGAAGCGCTGCCGATGCACGTACATGTCCTCATAGTACGGCGGATAGGCGCGATGGTACTGCTCATCGAATCTGAAGGGGAGGGGAGAATGCCAAATTAAAGAAATGCTTTAAGGCCCACAGCTACTCACCTGTCGTAGCGTCTGATGTACGGGTCGTACGACCGGGACGGATACATGGCAATCGATTTGCCCGTATACTGTCCGTACCAGGGCAACGGATTGGCTATCCTCTCATCCGCGGGCTTGCGTATGTAGCCCAAGTTCTGGTCTCGGCCAGGTGTGCGTATCGCAGCAGCGCCACTCAGATCATTTTCACCTGGCGCAGTGTCCATGGTGCGCCGACCCGTTGTATAGTAATCGTAGTCCGCATACCTGGCCGAGGATTTGCCAGCCACTCTCAGCTGCTTGCCCGTTGCTCCATGCTCCACAGACTCAGCTGCCTCGACGTCCAAAATGCTGTCCGGACTCTCGAGCTCTGCGTTCCGATTGCTGTGCTCGTAGCCAGGCTCCGCACTCACGGCTAGCACCTGCAGTGAGCACAATATGAACAGACCTTTCAGCTCCATCTCGATGCGATGCCAACTGCAGTTGCCAGTTGGCCAAAATAGACTGATGCCAAGCTGCGGCTACTGGCCAAATAGACGAAGCCACGCAAACGGCTAACAATAATCCGGCGACATGGTAAGTTAAACTTCAATAGGCAATTGTATTATTTGATTTGGCTCGTTCGTTTTTTTGGTTCTATGGTCAGTCTATTCAATCAGTCAGTCCATGAAGCGCAAGAGTGCACAATTCAAGTCAAGCAGCAAACTACCCACTCGAATACCCACTAAAAAAGAGCAAACTATGTGCTGAGAGAGGTAGTACTGAAAATAACAGGTCGAAGTTTTTAGAAAAGTACGACTGGGGCCGACTGAATTATACAGTTAGGCTCATGTGAAATTCAAGGACGCGGCTCCACATAGATCCTACAGCAGTAGAAGATCAAAATTTTAGTACTGCAGGAGGAGCTCAGTGCTGATTCTACTGCCTAACGCAACTCTAAAACTAAGACATAGAGACGCCCCCCAATGGACGGACTATATAATCTAGCCAGACAGGAGCTTTCATTAATTCTACTGCAAAACTATAGCTTAAGAATCTTAACTCCAAAGCTCAGCAATAGATCATTTTTCTTCCAATGAACTAAGACAGACCATATTTATGATTCCATTACGGGTCACATTGGGAATAACATTCATTTGCAAAAGCTGTTAAAGTTAGCTCTAAAACAAAAGACGATTTGACGTACCGTCGTACCTATATATGTATACATATACATATATTGTATTTATATATCCAGACATCAAACATCCAACCATTAACCTTAACTCAACTTAATTACAGAGTAACTCAAATCAATACGCTCATTGAAGTACCGATGCTCCACCTATGTATATTTGATGGCATTTTGTATATATTTAACACACACACACACATGCACACTCACACGCACTCTTTCACACACACACACCCATGCACACAGCACAAAACTGCATTCTCTTTGAAGTTCAGAACAATAGCAGCTCGAACTTGTCCGAGCTACGCTTCGTTGGGTGCGACAAAATGCATTTTGTGATTTGCATTTGAAAACAAAGAGAGTGAGTGAGAGAGAGAGAGAGAGAGAGACAGAAAAAGAGAGGGAGCAGGCAAGGGCTCGAGCTAACGGCATTTCTAAGTGATTAACAATATGGTCAGGGCTTTTAAGCTCAGCAATTCAACAAGAATTCAATTGATGGTGATTTTAATTATTATGAAATTTGTAATACAAATATATATTTCATAAAATTTTATAATTTTAAATTATTAAGTCTTAAATTTAAAAATGATATAAATTAGTTTTGAATAACAAATTAATATATATATATGTATATATATATATATATATAGTATGTATGTAAATCATTTGTAATGCTGGACAATTGTTTTGCTTTTTAACTTTTTTTTTAGCTAGGTGTTTTTCTTTTGCTTGTTAAAAAATAATCATGTTTTGTAGCTGTGACAGCGTTGACCCAAAATGTATCGATTCAGGCAGATTTTTGATTTGCAACAACCATCTTTGGCATTCCAGACACTTTCGCTGTCGATCCTCGCGTGTCACATCGACGCCCAGCCCGTTGGCAGCCCAAGAGTCCAGATTTTCTTGGATCATTGGCAAGAAGTTTGATAATACGATGCGCAGCGTATCGCAGGCTCTGGTGAAATGACTGCAAATGATAAATGATACATTTATATTTATAATCAAAATTATGTATATATGCCATTTACTTACAATTTGTGTTGACTTTGCAACAGCTCATACAGTTCTGGTAATACAAATGTACAAAAATCCAAATTCAATGAAGACCTAAATGAAAAATAAGTTATAAAATATAGAGAACAAACCAAACATCAATATATATCTTACGGCTTCTCCAGTATTGCACCTAAAAGATCTATAAAAATGGAGCGTCCAGCTGACTTGGCCAACCTAAGTGCACTTAGAACATCATTAACACTAAACAAGTGGTAAATAAATCTATTAGCATTTCTGTTAAATATGTTAATCTGATAATGCTCACCGTGTCGAATTGCGTAGCAGTTCGAGACTGGCTTGACGATTGCTCAATTCCTGGAGCACAGCTTCGTGTGATCTCGAGAGCATATCAAAATCGTATTGCTCATCAATGAAATTACGATTCGAATTCTTGCCCGAGGTTGGTATCAAGTCCGGACGGTAATTCATTGGTGGCTACAGTTCAAGATTTATCATAGAATAACTGAAAGTTGAATGCGGTTCAATTCAATAATACATACATGGGTAGGCTTCTCCTGGACCTTTGTCTGATGTGCGGGGGTACGCATATCGAGGGTCGTACGGGATCTTATTGGTGGCTTCGTAATAATCTCCACACTTATATTCTTCTGCTGAGCATTCTCCTTGTAGAACTGACTCTGCGAACCCATCGTTCGCTTGTTCTTGTTGACAACTGTTGTGGACGTTGACTTCTTGAGTACCATATTATCGTCGAGCTTGTGCAGCTCCATTGAACTAACTGAAGACGTTTGGCTCAGCTTATTATTGCCGAATATTGATGTCGAAGTCTGTTTGGTATTGCCCATCGCTGTGGTCCGTTTGTGCAAAGTTGTCGTTGTCTTTTTAATTGATTTCGATGAGGCGTTTATTGTTGATGCAGGTACTGTCTTGTAGTTGCTGGCTGTGTAGTTCTGGTTGACTGGAAAGTCTTCGGCCATCTCACAATTATCATAGTTATTGAGTATTGGCGGATTGCTGTCATTAGGACTATACTCGACATCATTTGCAACTACAGCCTTATCCAATGGGTAGAGGTTGTAATCGTCTGGCACGTGCAATGAGCTCGGCTGATAAACGTTCAGTACACGGCTGGAGCCCATATCTATGCCATAGTTATAAGGCAGATTGTGTAATGATGACATTGACGATGATTCGATATGTTCCAGTGCAGCCTCATTGACAACCTCCAGACTCAAATTTGGAGACGATTGCTCGTCATAAGTTAGACTTTTATTGTCCTCCTGCTCCTCTTCCACTTTGGCCGGCTTGGCTCCGCCCATCGATATTCTAAACTTTTGGGTACCGCGTGAGAAGCTCTTGCGATTAGTTGAGTTATGCTTGAAATTAGGCTCAGCATTTGCCGGCTGATAGAACGGTATCACACAATCAAGGCTAACTGTATTAATTGACACGGTATCAATTTCATGGCAGCCACAGATCTGTAAGCCAAACAAATACGAATTAATGCTCCTATAATTAATTAATAACTTTGTAGATAGCTTACAATCTTATTTTTGATCACTTTCATGTCATCCAATGAGACCCAGTTACCCTTGATGTGATCTAATTCACGGTCTGGTTCCCATCCAATCACAGATATTCCGGCAGCGCTGCCCACAAACAGACACTCGCCATTCTCGCTAATGGGAGAATCGTTATTATTAAATATTATAATAGATAGATGATTGCAACAATGGCTTACCTAAATGTAATGCATCTGATAGCCTGACCATAGAAATGAGTTGTTTGGGAGACAAGCAATTGATGTTCCAAATCATAGATAGACACAGTGCCATCCACTCGGCCCGCTGCAAGCAGAAACTCAAATGGATGGAATTGTATGCATGTGATAGCCGTAACGGGTGGCTCGGCTATAAACTCCATTATCTGCTTGCTCTTGCGTATATCCCATATTAATATTGATCCTTCCAAGCCAGCGGAAGCAATCCAAAGTCCATCAGGTGAAAATTTCACTGAATTCACATGCGATATGTGTCCTTTGCAAACTTTAATGCATTTATTTTCGTTTTGAACATCCCATAGTCTAAAATGATAACAAAATTAACTCAAAAGTTAATTTAACAGGAAAAACAGTTTGAACTTAGCGCCCTATCCGATATCGATATATGAGAAAACCATATGGCAAAGTCTATTAATATAATTTGCAGAACAAAAATACAGTTCAAAGTCAGCGCCTTATCGAATCGATATACACGCTGCAGCCCTGTATAACTCCGTGCGATAGTATCGACTAAGAAAATAAGTCACAGAGTGAACGGCAATCGGTTAAAATTCCACCACTTTCAACTGTCTGGCAATATAAAAATTGCTGTGAACCTCTGTTGTTAATCCAGTTTTTGTTTTCATTTTGCAACAGGCTTATCGATAATTAAAAGTGCCCTTTGTACCGGCGATACAAAGATAATTCCTCACTTAAACAGCCAATACATGAGATAAAGGTAAAATATTCTTGCATTTGACATTATTAATATATGTTTTGTGGGTGAGTGTGTGTCTGCCGTACACTTTTGTACTATATATACATATGTGCGTATGAGTAAAAACTAAACAAACAGGTACATTTGTTGAATTCATTTGGAATATACGAGATTGTTTACTTGTATGCGACCACATCGAGCCATAGGACTTCGATCAAACATTAAACATTTTAAATTCAGACACGTAATCAACGTTTTCTCAATGGAAAGTAATACGAATCTTCAACTGCATTAACTAACACACACATACATACACTCACACACATACATATATACAAACAAGTCTTTATTTGCTTAATGTAAGAGAATCTAATCTAACGCTGATATCCTATCAGTAAAAATATTCATATATGTATCTGTGATTGAGGTTGAAAGTTCATCGACCACTGTGAGCTAAGCTACAATTTTTCATTTATAGACGTCTCACAGCCGAATTGACAGTTGATTGCTTCGGTATCCGAATTGCAGAGAACAAGTTTATATCACAGCAAGTCTCTAACCATATATACAGAAAATGTCTTCAGCTGCGAAATTGCGATTTGATGGCCGTGTGGCGATTGTTACCGGCGCTGGAGCTGGCCTCGGACGGGAGTATGCATTGCTGCTGGCATCGCGCGGCGCCAAGGTGGTGGTCAACGATCTAGGCGGCAGCCATGTGGGCGAGGGCGCCTCTCAGCGGGCAGCCGATGTGGTGGTCGAGGAGATTCGTAAGAACGGCGGCGAAGCAGTCGCCGATTACAATTCAGTTATTGATGGTGCAAAGGTCGTTGATACGGCCATCAAGGCATTCGGACGTGTTGACATTTTGATTAACAATGCGGGCATATTACGTGATCGCAGCATTATTAAGACGACAGAGCAGGATTGGAACCTGGTGCTCGATGTGCATCTCAAGGGCAGCTTCAAATGCACACAGGCCGCCTTTCCGCACATGAAGGCCCAGAACTATGGACGCATCATCATGACGGCGTCTAACTCGGGCATTTACGGAAACTTTGGCCAGGCCAACTACTCGGCGGCCAAGATGGGCCTGGTTGGACTGGCCAACACGGTAGCCATTGAGGGCCAGAAGAACAACATTCATTGCAACGTTATCATTCCAACAGCAGCCAGTCGCATGACTGAAGGCATCTTGCCCGACATACTCTTCCAGGAGCTGAAGCCCAGTCTAATTGCGCCCGTCGTTGTCTATCTGTGCCACGAGTCCTGCGAGGATAATGGTGCGTATCGCGTAATGCTCCTCATATTAATATTCCCCTATTCTGATTTGCTATATCTTCTTTAACAGGCAGTTACATTGAAAGCGCTGCCGGCTGGGCGACCAAGGTGCATACGGTGCGTGGCAAGGGAGCTGTGGTGCGACCATCAATAGATGAGCCCTCAACGCTTGAGTACGTGCAGAGTGCATGGAATAAGGTGACAGACATGTCGCAAGCGACGCACATCAATTCCATTTCCGAAGCCTCGGGTTCCCTGCTGCAGGTGCTGGAGAACCTGAAGGCCGGCGATAAAGATGCCATCGAGGATAGCTTCTCATTCGGCAACAAAGAGCTGATCCTCTACGCCCTGGGCATTGGCGCCTCAACCAAAAACCCCAAGGACATTCGCTTCTTGTATGAGAACGATGGTGACTTTTCCCCGATCCCATCATTCTTCGTGCTGCCTGGCCTGCTGCTAACCATGAGCAGTCCCCTGGTGTCCACGGCGCTGCCCAATAGCAACGCCGATCTGTCCAACATTCTGCACGGTGAGCAGTATTTGGAAATTGTTGACGACTTGCCCACCAGTGGCACATTGGTCACCAAGGGCAAGGTGTTCGATGTGATGGACAAGGGCTCCGGCGCCGTGGTCGTCACCAGCTGTGAGTCGTTCGATGAGAACGGTCGCCTTCTGGTGAAGAATCAAAGCGCCATCTTTGTGGTTGGCGCCGGCAAGTTTGGCGGCAAAAAGGATCCCATTGCCGGTGTTGTGCCCCTGGCGGCTGCCCCCAAACGGGCACCCGACGCCACCATAGAGTACAAGACCAGCGAAGATCAAGCTGCCCTGTATCGACTCTCCGGTGATCTGAACCCATTGCACATTGATTCGAACTTTGCACGTCTATCCGGCTTCAAGACACCCATTCTACACGGACTTTGCTCTCTGGGCTACTCGGTGCGTGCGGTGCTCAGCAAATACGCCGATAACAACAGTGAGCTCTTCAAGGCGGTGAAAGTGCGCTTCTCCGGCCCCGTGCTGCCGGGACAAACCCTAAGGATCGAGATGTGGAAGGAGGGGGCACGCATCCACCTGCGCACTTTAGTCGTGGAGACGGGCAAGGAGGTTATTTCGGGCGCCTATGTCGACCTGAAGAGCTCAAACGCCAAACTGTAAATTCAGATTTAAGGCTGGCTGAAGCGAGGCAATTATCACTTATATATACATACAAACATGTATATATAAATACATATATATAATATTACAACATAACCAGGCGGTGGTATAAAAATATTGCAATCAACACATTTATAACTCAGCTAAATGTAATTGTTCTTTTGCCTAATTTTAATACAAAAATAAAATAAACAATCGAAATCGCTAAACTTAATTACATAAGACTCTAGAGCAAAGAATGCAAATCATGATCGCAGTTCCGTAATTTCTACGGCGGAGTTAAATTAATAGACAATTGATATGTGCGGGGTATGCAATTTACTATAACCAGAAATCGGGTAAAATAGATAAAGCGAGCGTATACTATAGCAGATAACAAATGATTAAGAACCGGATAGAAGCATGGAAAAATTAAAATGACTGACGGATATACCATATATACGTATGTATATATTTAGTTAAAATATATTTATATACCTACATATACATGGACTTTTCCGGTTCAAATGCAGTCTAACCTGGAACCCTATTCAAATTTGTCTTGAGTACAAACTCTATAAAACAAACGAAAGCAAATGGAATTGCATGACTCATGTATATACATATATGCACATACATCTATAATATAAACATGATATAACGAAGTGCAATCTACGATATCAGTTCTACCATATATAAACGATTTTGCTGAACAATTACATGAATGACAGTGAGATGGAAGATGTTGTTGTCCCACTTCAAACTAAATCTCTAACAATTGATCGAAATGATATTGTAGAATAAACATATGATGCCAGATGTAAAACGATCTGTGTTAAAATAAGAGTCGTAGGTGTGCACTTACCTGACCGTTGTATCATTGCTGCCCGATACCACGTACTCCCCGGATGGATTAAAGTCCAAGGTTCGCACACTCTTCATGTGCCCATTCAGTGTTGAATAAATCTTCTGGGCATTCAAGTCCCATCGCCGAATGATGCCAATATCATCGGCTGAATATACAAAATTATCCTTGTATGCAAAGCGAACGCATTCAATCGAACGATTGTGGCCAGTTAGGGACTATATAGGGAGGAAAAGTGAGATATTTGTGAATGATATATATATTTGATATTCATTGTAGATCTGCATATACGAACCATAAAGCATTCATCTTGGCCAATCGCCCATAGATTGACATTGCGGTCTTCGCCTCCAGTGACCAGCACTCGACCCGTTTCACCCAAATCGAGGCTTGTGACTTTGCCGTCGTGTGCCTTAATGTCATCTGTATATAAATAAAAAAATATACATATTGATTACAAGAAATGCTTGGATTAGAGCTAAATGCGAGCTAAATGTTTGTTTATTACTTGTTGTTTATGTTACGTCTACGGACAGCATTCGATTTCCTTACTCAGAACAGAAAACATATGTATGTACCGAATCGAGGCTAGACTAACTTAATGGGAAATTGAAACTGTCTGACGATCATATTACTCTTCTAGTGATTTACTTATTATATTTAGTGGAAACTAGAACCAAAACTAAAATTTCTTTTAATATATGAAGTGAAATAGTTAAGTCAAAATATATACTAAAATCAATTCTATTAATTAAAACATCAATTCAATTAATGGATTAAAATTATTTAACATTTCAAATAGTTAAGATCCAATCATTAGAAATATATATATTTTTTAAAGTAAAATGATTTAAATACATTTAAAAAGAATTCTAGATTTGTATGAGATCAATTTCTGTATATAAACAAATGTTCCATATATGCGCATAAACACACATACACACATGTGTATCAGTGTCTTATATGCAACAGATACGGCATGCTGTAATGTTTTGCCGATATTTAGGAAGTTGTTTATGTTAATATATACAATATTGGAATGTTTATTTTAGCTTTTTATGGTTGTTTGATGTCGTGACCTCATCTTAACCTAACTCCAATACTTTTACATATATTAACGCACGCACATTACACACGCACGCACACACACATACATATACAGCGGCACACATGTGTAACTGCACAGCTCCTTACAAGGTCTGCATCCCACATGCAATTATTTGCATGTTATTGGCCAAAACGGTCTGACACACAAAACACAAACACACACACACATGCTCGCACACACAGATAAACCGCTCGGTGTGCATATGTGTCGGCCAATAAGTATGAGAACTACTTTCATAGAGTTGAAATTCTATTTTACTTACATATCTTTGCCACAAGATTTCTAGGCAGCGCCATTTCCAAGAAAATTACCGTTACAGGTGTAAGTTTAGGTTAAACCCAATATTATATGTTGAAAGCGACAATATTATGAATATTTTATTTTATTTTGTCGCAGGTGTGATAATTTTTTGTGGGTTTGAGTTAAGTCGGATCAGCTGTCCGCTATCTCTTTTGTGAGCCCTACAGACAACTTTATTAAAAAACACAATAAATCATAAACGCAGATGAACAGACGTAACTAAACCGTTTTACATGATTAATACCGTATTAATATTATACAACCGTCACATAAAATAACGATAAACTTTACAAAATTTGTAGACTAAACAAATGCACATCATATATGTATGTAAATACACACATATATATATATACAAGACTACCAGGGCTGGATAACAACTTTACTCATTTGCTGTTGCCACCCCGTTTTTTGTATGATTACTGAAGGCAAATTTTTACAAAATGTGGCCAGTCATTGTCAACGGTGCCAATATGCTATCGATATCTTGGTGAGCATAGCAACTCTGTGGCTCTGTCAGGCTTTCCTCAAAAGAGCATCATCATTGCCCTGTCGAAAATTTGCCGACTGCATTATTTGAAAGTTTATTAAGTTACTTTACGCTGCGTGTTTAAAAGGAATTAATTAAAGATGTCTTCACGTTACGATCGTGCTGTTACTATTTTCTCTCCCGATGGTCATTTACTTCAGGTTGAATATGCTCAAGAAGCGGTTCGCAAAGGCTCCACAGCGGTATGTTAACAACTTGTTATTTTTTTTTTTAATAATGCTGAAATTTATACATAAATTTTTACAAAAGGTTGGCGTGCGTGGAGCCAACTGCGTTGTCCTGGGTGTTGAGAAAAAGTCGGTCGGCAAGCTGCAGGAAGATCGCACAGTGCGCAAAATTTGCGTTCTTGACCATCACGTACTAATGGCATTTGCTGGCCTCACTGCCGATGCACGCATCCTTATAAATCGTGCCCAAGTCGAATGCCAGAGCCATCGTCTCAATGTTGAAGATCCCGTTACACTTGAATATATAACCAGGTACAAGAAGCACGATGTTTAACCAGTTAGGATGCAATGCTGAAACTGTTTGTTTTGCTTTGCAGATACATCGCACAACTGAAACAGAAGTACACCCAAAGTAATGGACGACGTCCGTTTGGTATATCATGTCTAATTGGAGGCTTCGATGCTGATGGGTCGGCTCATTTGTTTCAAACCGAACCATCGGGCATATTCTATGAGTACAAAGCCAATGCCACCGGACGTTCGGCAAAAACGGTGCGTGAGTTTTTCGAGAAAAACTATCGTGAGGAGGATGTCAGCACTGAGCATGGCACCGTGAAGCTGGCCATTCGCGCGTTACTCGAGGTTGCTCAATCTGGACAAAATAATTTGGAGGTGGCCATCATGGAGAATGGGAAACCGCTTAAAATGCTGGATCGCGATGTCATATTGGAATATGTGGCTATCATTGAAAAGGAGAAGGAAGAAGAGCAGGAAAAGAAGAAACAGAAAAAGTAATACCAATTCCAATTTCATGTTAAGTCATTGGTATTGGTATTATCCTGTGTTATTCTTTAACTACAATAAAAACAAAAAAGTCTTTTTAATTTCATATTTTTATAAAATTTAAAAAGGTGTACAATGGAACACGAATATTTAAAAGATATGTATCAAATACATGGTCCTCAAAACAAAAACGCAGCTTTATATACTTAATGAGCAGGCGAGTATTGAAATGTTCTACCAGCTGTGAATTAATAATAAACTAACAAGAACTATACTTGGGGATATAAATCCTACAAAAAAAGTTGTTGGAATATAAATGCTAAAAAGAAATTTGTACATAAAAATTCATTTTTTTTAATATTCCCTTTATCTTAAATTAAATTCAAAATACCTCGGAGGCATTTAATTTAGGCTCTAAAGAATTTAAAAGGTAAACTCGATTTAGTGTTGACAGTGGCGATATTTGGAGAACGGCTGGCAACGATAACTGAAGCTTTGCGCAAAGTTCATATTGAACGATATTATTGAAACCCATCCCTAAGGCAAGCAAGCAAGTGCTTTAGAACACTGGCAGCAACAGTGCTGCAGATTGCACGCCTAAATTCATATGAGAATTTCGCTTAGTTTACTACTACCACTGTCCGGAGTCGGAAGTTGCGCCGAAGAAAAAACCGAAGCGATAATACCAAAAATACAACAGAAAAAAAGAAACTATTGAATTGAATTGTATAAAGCGAATATCGAGAACAAGAATATTAAACAGTTCTGCTGCTATACGACAACATAAAAAGAACTAAAATTAATAAAACGCCAGCACTGTTTCGCTTTTCATTCCCTTTGCCTGTCATTCCAAACCAAGCAACACCATCAGACTAAAATCAATAATTTAGTTGTGTGGTTTTCGCGGCTTTTTGTGTTTCTTTAAAAAACAATCAATACCCGAAGGTAACGTGTGTAGTAAAATAACAATTCACCTCAGTGTGCGTTTGCATTCGTTGACGCTTGACATATTGGTACACAATTTATTTATTTATTTAGTTTTTCTATAAATCATTTTTTTTTTCGTTTTTTTTTGAATGTTTGTTTTATAAATCATACGAATAACATAAACATTATGAACGAGATAATTTTTGGCATCCTTCAAATCTCAAAGCACTTAGCACCATGTTAAAAGGCTGCCAACCCTTCCTCCCCCTCCACACACACACACAGTCACTCACACACACACAGTCCCTCACACACACTACACACGCATTAAGTATAAGAAAAACCAAGTACTATTTATGAAATGTACATAAATACATATGTACATGCCTCTGTACATACATGCATACATGCAGATCTGTTGAGGCATACATATGTATGCACGCACACACACACACACACAGACACACACGCATTAACTTAAAAGTTTTTATTTGCGTTTCCGCATATATTGGTAGAATGCGTTAAGCAGAAACAAGTACAAAAACAGAACTCAAAATCAAAACGAATCGAATCCAATATATAGCTGCATATAAATGTCTTACATGTATTAAATATACACATATAAAATGGATGTACATAATGTAAATGTATAGAGATAATATACATACATACATACATATATATTATTTTCACTTCGAATATAATTTGTTTATACGCTCGTTACATACATATGTACATATATAAATTTTATAATGCACCTAATTATGTAGATGTTTATATGTGTGTGTGTATATACATATGTATCGGTATCCCTGTGTACACAGACTGACGCTCCAATCTTATCTTTGGCATAAGTGGTCCGCGACGGTTGGAAAAGGCCTGTCCTCTTATCTCTGTTCAGTTCAAACAGTCACAATCATCCAATACACCGTATTACGAACCGAGTCATATACATACATACATACACCCATACTTATAAATACTTTGGTTGAATTCCATTAGGATTTACACTTGTTAATCGAAACTCTGATTCAGTCATGTATAACTCTCCTCCCCTTAGATAACAAGATCTCAAGATTTCAAGCAAGCGCATCAAAATATATCAAAATCATAATGAAATAAATAAAATATCTTGTAAATATAAAAAAGTATATATTATAAATAAGACAAAATTAAAAATTGTATATAGAAATTTAGAATGTATAATATGTATATTGATCTGTAGATTTTCTCATTTAGTTTTTCAAAAATTTACCAATTTTCTGCCCTTTCCTTTTACTTTACTGTCTATGTGTGTGTGTGTGTGTGTATGTGCGTGTGTTGACCCGACCTGACACTCTCCGTATTTCACATATAATACAATAGAATGGGCACAGAAACGAAGAGCAACAGTTACACAGGACAGATTTCAACAAGTGGCGGCAACCCTAAAGTGATGAAAGATTCTTTATCTTTAGTTCGTCAAGCGGTCAAACAGCAGCAATCGAATCAAATCAATTTGAATTCAAATTCGAACACCAATCCGAATCCGAACTCCAACTCCAACTCCAATTCGATAACATATTCAAGCGAACAACAACAACAACAACAGAACAACACGGGTGATATTGATAGACGACCAGCCAAGCAGGAGGATAATAGCACACGAAGCATAGCGAAAGATACGGTTGTGCCATTCGTGCCGATATTTGTGGAAGAAGCCGATGTTATACAAGGTGCTAAGGATATACTGAAAGTAATACGACCTAACTGGGACCTCAATCACGTTGACTTTAAGGTAATTCTTTTATGCATGTGTGAATATATATATTCTAAGAGTAAAATAAAAACCAGCGAAGAGAATATTATATATGTGTATAATTTCTATATATAGCTTTAAACTAATTTTAAATAGAAAGAAAGTTCCTTTAAGATATATAATCCTTCATAAATTTAAATTTACCTAACAGGCAGAGGTATATTTATTGAGTATGCGTCTGTTCGTATGGCTGAACGAATCGATTTCACAATTAGTTTTCAGTTCTTCAAAGGGTTGAAGAGATCTTGTACTCGAGTAGCTTCCACTAGAGCACTCTTAATTGATGTAATTTAATTTGTATATAAAAAAAGTAAATGAAGAAAAATAGACCATATAGTATTAAATGGATCTTTAACACATCTTTATGTATATATGTATGTATATATTCATTTGGAGCTACGCCTTTTGGTAAATCCCACATTTGACATTCACAAACTATCTGCGAATTATCCTAAAATTATGAAAAATATAGCATGTACGTATGTGTTATTTATTATAGATCTATTAAAAGTTGCAGTAATGAAAATAATAGTAAATAGAATTTAGTCAAAAAATAATATTGAAACACATTTAAAGTGAACCGGTTTCTCTCTCAATCTTTGTTGTTCATCTGGAAATAAAACAAAACCCAATTTCGACCTTTTCCATTAGCTTAGGATATAAAACCCAAATGTATTCTCAACGAAAGAACCGTTAATTTTTGTAATTCTGCTTTGCTTTCTACACCAATCAGTGTTGAATTTTTAATTTTCCAATTGCAAAAAATGACCCTTTCAATGGGTATATATGTATATATTTGTATGTATTTGCTGTGTAGTGCAGCGACATTATTTTCATGAGGACAACTGTTTAGGTAATATGTATTTCTATATATATATATATCCATATATATACACAGCTGTAATTTGTAAGGTGTTTTTTGTGTGCAAAACGCGTTCAACGATTATATTGTTATTATTATGCATAGCACGAGGTTTCAATAACTCATTAGTTAGTTATTATTTGCTCGTTAAATCGCGACTCAATAACAACTTCCCACACGTATTTTTGTATGAGTATAGCACACAATTGTAAATATATACACATACATATATGTAAGTCTATATATTGCACAATATGCATCTAGACACAAAAGGCACATATATATAAATATATTTGTTTATGATAAATTTAAAAAGCGTGACAGCTTGACTGTTGTTTAACAGAATCAGCTGAATCGTTGAACTATTATTTGTGCATAAATATAAATTAGTTTCTAGCCTCGCACTTCGTGCTTAATAGTTTTCCACTGTATTTATTTAGTAATTGAAGCAAACCAGTTTAACTATTATTATTGTTAGTTAGTGCTGCTAATTGCGTTGCTCCAAATTAGATTTAATTTAATGCGAAGCTCAGAATGCGTATACGTCTGCGTATACGCGATATACGTGAGGCTTAGCCTGGCTGTATAGCATATCAGTTTATGAATTTATTAATGTTGATAGTACACTATGTGATGATAGCACAAACAGACACACACACACACACACACACACACACACACAAACACACAGCTGGCACTTAAATCACAAGAATTTCATTAAAAATTGTTCGCTTTGGACTGAAGGCTTATCAAAACGATTACGTCTGGACCCCCATAAGCACATGGCTTTATTAATGTACATGTGTATGTGTGTGTGTGTGAGTGTGTGTATATAATATAGTTTTAATGAGCAACTGCCGAAGTATTTGTATGAGACCGCGCGATTCATTATTTCAAAAGTCACAAAGTTTATCAAGTTTGATTACTAATACACTCATGTGTATGTGTGTGTGAGTGTCTTAAAATCTGTTTTAAGCATTCAAAAACATGGCTGATGCTTAGCTAGATTAACTGTAAATATACTACAAATCAAATTCAGACTTTGAGCATGAAATACTGGACGACCTATAAAATAAAATACCCCATGTATACACACACACACACAGCTATCGGAACTTGCTATATATGACTTTAGCTTAGGAATTTTTTAATCTATTTGTAAATCAATTAACAACTTTGTTAGTTAGCAAGTTCATATTACTTTTCTTCAGTGTATATAAGGTTAAATGTAAAAAAAAATTACAGCAAACAGTTTGAGGCCATGTCAAAATATATACACATACATATATGATGTACATATATACATACATATGTATATGTATATTTAAATGTGTATTTAGTTCACAACTGTGCGCAGAAGTAATGACGCTCTCAGTCGAGCATAGCCAACTGTCTAATACTCGTTCATGTGGCTAAATTTGGATTCGCCACGCCCTTAAAGGGGGCGCTTTATACAATTTGAAAACAGGTCAAACTTGGCATTCATAGCACTGAAGCTGTGGGAAATATGC